GTTACAAAAGAAATCTACTGAATTTATATGGTGTTCCAAAGAACAAATAAGATGATGCTTCACTTAATAAGAAGAGGGCGAAACAGAACATATGACGTAGTTTTTGCGATTAAAAATAAGTATACTGTTTAATCCACTACTTTTGTATAGCCAAAAACGTTTGTTTACTTTCAACTGATGCTATACTGTTTGCATATTGTGCACATTTCTTGATATTCTGAAAATAATCAAGGCAATATTAGCATAATCTGCAACAAATATTAAATGCCGTAAATTTACCTCGCTCCTGCCGCCGAGGTGACCTCGTATGGCATGAAGTTGTAAGGGGACGATCCGTAAAGTAAACAAATGGCCCATATTACGGCATTTTGGGAACACTGTTCAGGAGGCTTAAGCGCAGAGGCTTAAGCGCACGACGGCCAGCGGCAGAGAGCGTCTGACTGTACCCGCTTCCCAACGGTCTAGAGCGGTAGCCGAGAGCAATTTGGTCAAGAGAACATGGTACCAATAGTGAAGTGCAGGTTCACGCAGAGAATGATAGTGCAAATGAAGAACTGGACGTCTACTGAGGACCCTCAGCTGCGTTTGGCCCCTGGAAACCCCCGAAAGAGGCAAAAACATCAGCTCGATCAAAAATATATAGACATCACACACAATTTATTTCACGGTAATTTACACATCACACTGGATAATAATGGTTCATGACAGCCATGATCTCTGCTGCATTAGGCCCACCATGCACCAAAAAAGGGCTTAACATTTTTGGCTAAATAAAAAAATTATTGGTACCACTTGAACCTAAGTTTATATACTTCAGAAAGTACAGAATGGTCAATACCAGACGAATTACCTGCTGCATAATGCCTGACAGACACGCCCAAAAGTTGACCCTATCCTCTGCTCTGGCACATTTGATGCATACAAGTACATGTAGGAACGTAGATTCTATAACTTTATCTTTCAGGCGTAGTCACATGGACCCAATCCACTTTGCTGAATCTGCATTGCCCCATTGCTTACGAAGTGCGCGTGATGCCGCTTGTTGTGGACAGTCTTGGGGCATGGTGGAAGGAAAGTTATTTATTGCAGCTTCCTGAAATAAAAGAGAATTTATACAAATAATTTAAGATGTGTAGGAAGCATTCTGCAAAAGCCGCGTAGGACTGCCGAACAGAATAGAATTCACCATCGTCAGCTAATTATTCCATTTGCTTCGAATAGATCTTTAATGCTTCCACATTAAAGTACTGTAGATTCGGCCGGATGTTCCCGTGGTAGTAATACTAGGTATCCCACGCAGAATAGAGTAACCGTTTAGCGAATCGTCCGACCGGTAAAACCAAAGCACTTTGGTGTAATCAATCAGCTCTTGCATGCCACCAGTGCCGACTTAGAGCCGAATCTAGAGTAGGTCCTATACCCTAGAAAGAATACCCTTAATTACCTCATCCATTCCCTTCATACCGTACAAGGTACAAGGAAATCATTTTTCTGAAGAATTTGAGGAATGTCCAATTGCTGTCTTTTTCAAGGATTTTGAAAGGCCCCACTCCCGCAGCAGCTCACACCTTACACCTTTATAAATAGGCTGTGTAATATCTGTAATGTATTAAATGCATGTTATATTCTGGCTGAAAGCATCTTTTCCAGTGGTTCAATATTAGAATTCTAGCAATATGGCAAATTGGGATATTTTTTTTTCTTCTAAAAGCATTGAACACAATAGCTGCATTAGATATTGTACTCTTATCAGTATATACAAAAACAGTAAACAGATTGTTACTGTAAGCATAATCATGTTGATTTTTATAAGTACCGTTATCTTTTGGTTTATGTTATAAAAGTTTGATTGGAATAAACAACATTCATTCAAGACCACACAATTATTCCATAAATAATGGCTATCATGTACTGATTACCAGTAGCAGTACAGCAGGAACTGTTCATTTATTCATTTGTCCCCTACGGTACCTAGTGTTTAGTGAACCTGGTAACTTAACAAATCCTTTTGATTTCCACTCCAGGGAGATTTTTACCCGGTTGGAAGCAAAACCCGAGTGTGTACTACGAGTGCCGTGTGACCTTGCCCTGCAACTTCCAATTCCACCGCTTCCCCTTCGGCTCCCACGTGTGTAACGGGACATTCTACTTCCTCAAGGATCCCAATGCGATGATGTGGAGGAGGAAAGCTACAGTGGACGACACTGAATATAATGGCGATTCAAACCTCCTTGACTTCCGTCTCATCAACATCACAAGCGAAACCGCCACCATTACAATGAAGAACGGCAGGGAAGTGACTTTCCTAGTCATCAGCCTCCACCTGCAGAGCCTGTTCGACTACCACCTGTTGAACAGCTTCAGCCTGAGTGCCCTCATGTTCATCATCTGCTATGCCACGCTCTTCATCCCCATCAGCGACTTCAACGAGAGGATCATGGTGTCCCTCACCGCCATGCTGGTGCTGGCGGCGCTCTTCTCGCAGGCCACCGAATCCTACGTGAAGACGCCCTACTTTAAGCTCATAGACATCTGGTACGCCGTCATCATCGCCCTCTGCTTCGTCATCGTCCTCGTCAACGTGGGCGTGAATCGCGTCCGGCTTCATGGTTGCACTCAGCGAATCGGCATTGAGAGTGAGTGTGAAAACCTGAAAATTGCACGGAAAGGGAGAGGTAAAGCGGACACGATTAATATGATTTGTAAGATACTTATTATTCTAGTCTTTTTTATGTTTGTGGCAGTATTTATCATGTTTGCAACTGAGATTGTTTAACAGTTTCCCTTGTCGGCTATCTCCTTGCCAGAGAATGAATATTCACGAGTATAGAAAGAAAAGTTCTAAACTAGATTTAGGCCAATCAATCCATAAATTAATATCAGCTCAACATTTGACAAGACTAAAAAGTATCTACGATCCACAACAAAAGAATGAAGAAGGCGTGTAAAGCCTGAGCCATGCATTCACCCCCACAGGCAAGCATGCTTGACAGAGAAAATGGTTGAGGTTTCCAATGGTATATCTTGTACCATATTATTATTGTCTTAATGTAACCACAACAGTGATCACTATTTTATCTGTATTCTTTTGTTTCCCTCTTCCCTTCCTAACTGCTATATTCTTTTCCCCCTTCTGCATCTCCCTCCTCCCTAAGGATGTTTCCGTCAAATCTACACTTGTTCTCTCCTTTTTTCCGTGTCTTACAACATTATATTGTTATTTCCCTATCACTGCATCATGGGTTTCAGTATATTAGCCATTTACTGTAATCATATCAATATGCAGTTGCTTTGTTAAACCAAGAGTCTAGGGTCTGCAGTCACAGGTTTTATTTGGCTGCCAAACAATAGCTGATAAAATTTGGTGAAGCGCATCTGACATGTATGGTCAGAAGCGTCATGTCGCTGATTATACTGTCCAATTTGAAATTTTCCAGCTTTATATAAAAAAAGCACTGTCTGGTTATACATTCATTGTGGAATTGTGTGTTTGTCAATGGTATTTTTCTCTGCCGCCATACTTGCTTTTCTTATATCTTCTTTCATTGAAAATAAATTAAATGAATTTATCCCTTATTGATCCCACTTATCCTTCTGATCTTAATGGCTACAGCTTAAGCCCGGTTTCCCTTATTTGGACTCACGTCAGGTTCTTGAGCCACCCCCGACTGCCACACGCATAATGCTAAAACTGCATAACGATATTAAGCCCATTCCTAAAACGGCCATACAGATCCGCATTCTCCGTGAAGAATTATCATGAGCAAAGACACTCTAAGACAGCTCACCAAGTTCGCTATGTTGTGTGCACAGGCCTAGCCAAGAGTTTGGTTCGGATTCAGGGAGCTAATCCTTTTTACTGTGTTTATACTTTATTCTGTATGTTCAGTAAGTGAATAAGGACTCTTAGAATGAGAATGAATATCTTCACAACACAAGAGATGTATTTGACCGGTTTCGATTATCTTCATCAGAAATACATGTATTTCTATATTTGTCAACATTAATACATTTCATATTTCAGATAAATGATGAAAATGTGATATACTTTCTAATGATATGACTGAATCTTTCAAGTCTCATTTAATGTCAAGTACAATGCAAACAAGACTTTACTAAACAAATGTATTAGAAAAGCTCTAACTCTCTGGCATTCTCGGGCGTTTATTCTTTCAAACTTACCACTGGTTCTGAACGCTTCCTTCTCCCTTACTATCCTTCTCACAACCCCGATCCCAGCTTTTCGTTCTTCTTTCCAAAACCCCGTGTCGCACACTCGCACTGTGAACCCCGTGGAGGACTTGACATTCCAGGACCAACTCAGGGTACAAAGGAGGTAATCCCTTCTGCCAGACTACCTTTTTCAGAGACAGCCTTGGCTAGAAACCTGTGGGATGACCAAGGAAGTCATGTCTAGGGTATGTTGATAAATGGTTGGTTTAGTACTGGCCCTCCGGTCTCATACCCGGAGTGACCTAGGTTCGAGGCCAGGTCATGGAGGATTGTTATATATACATATCAATGCGGCATTGCATTATTCCATCTTTCCTATATTTACCTCAGGATATCTGACTTCGGTTTCGAATTTCTAAATCAATTTCCACCGAGTGCCCACGGGGAGTGTGTGTAAAACCTCGCTATCATTACACATGTATGAGTAGATAGGTAGTGTCTATGGAGCTAGTTAGATCCTAGTTACACACTCCTTTTAGTGGGTCGCATGGCATGGTTGGTTTAGTACTGGCCCTCCGGTCTCATACCCGGAGTGACCTAGGTTCGAGGCCAGGTCAGGGAGGATTGTTATATATCCATATCAATACGGCATTGCATTATTCCATCTTTTATATATATATATGTGTGTGTGTGTGTGTGTGTACGTATATATGCATATTCATACATATTTTGAATACACTTCTTTTATGTTGGTGAATGACATGTAAGTTATTTTACTGATTTATTTCTTCTAGCTAAGAAATGGTTTCCACAGGATTTCTTCCTTCTCAATCTAAAGTGCCCGCAAACGTGACGTCATCGAGGAATCGAAACGCAGAGACGAGGCCGCTGGCAGAACCACCGCTGACGTCATCCCAGCACAGAAGAGCGCCTGTTAGAGGCCGCAGAATCTGCCGGTGATGGCGTTGTTGTGGATCCACGTGTGGTAGTCTGGAGAGGAAGGAGCCTGGGTGAGACTTGTGCCTGGGTATTCAGCGAAGATGGACTGTGTGTGTGCGTGTGTGTGTGTGTTTCTACAGTAACAGTCCTACAACTCACTTGGCACGTCGGTGTAGACGCCGTATCTGCCTGGCAGCGCGCACCCGATGCCCCAGCTGACCACACCGGCCAGGTAGTGGCGTCCATCTCCCTCCTGCACCGTCAGAGGGCCTCCGCTGTCGCCCTGCCAATGCCAGCAATTTTTAGAGCGACTGAAGTAGCATTCTACATACTGACAAACAGATGCTAATGTGAGTTACACACTAATCATGAACATTTTGGAGCTGCGCTCGACACCGAGCTTCCAGCCACTGAGGAAAAGCTGGGACTTGGACAATCTACGGGAGACGCACCTGGCAAGAGTCCTTCCCTCCCTCGGGCAAACCTGCGCAGATCATATTGCTGGTAACCTGGCTGCCGTAAGCTGCTTGGCACTCAGACTGCGTCCTGATGGGCACAGTCACATCCTGGAGGACCTCTGGCTGCGTGCCACCTGCAAAGCCCAACAGAAGTCATAATAACATGGCAAAATTTCGGTTCTCAGGAGCTTCACTCCATCCAAGACACTTGCAGCACAGAAGGAGGGGCACTCACCTGACGACGTGGTGCCCCAGCCGGTGACCGTGGCATCCATGCCGGCATAATCCGAGCCCGAAGGAGGCATACACACGGGCTTGATGCCAGGCCAGTTGGTGAAGCTGACCTTGTCTGCGATGTGGACGAGCGCGATGTCGCTGTCGTACTGTGCAGGGCAAGAGAGGAGGGACCAATCAGCAAGGCAGAAGGGGACTCACTGGGGAGTAAGCTACCTGTCTGTTTCGACTGTCCCTGCAAAGGCTGTGCGATTTGTGACTAACCGTGCCACTGCTGTATCTTGGGTGGATGACAATTTGATCCACAGATCTCTTGATGATGCGAGTCGGCCCGTTGTTCCAGTCGTGCATGTTGAACAGAATTTGGAAGCTGCTTGGCGACACTCTGGGGAGGAGATGACCATTAGTTCCTCAAGAATTGCGTCGTTACAGGAGCGTTCTGATGTCAGTTCAGTATCAACGAACTGCCACCACCAACAGACGGCCTCGTGTCCCTGCACCAATCCAAAAGTGCGCATGCACCGCAGCTGTGGCTGGGCTGCCGTGCACCGCAGGCGCGACCACGTACCCCTGGACGCAGTGGGCGGCGGTGATGATCCACTCGTTGTTGAGGATGGAGCCACCGCAGAAGGGCCTGTCCGTCCCGCCCAGGTCGGAAAGCCCCACGAGCCACGGGTACTCGTTGACCTCGGTGTCTGCCCCGCCTACGATCCTGTTGGCGCTGTTGGGCACGCCGCACTCTGTGGGAGGAGGGGGGGAGGAGAGAGGAGTGCCAAGTCCCTCTACCAGGAGGTCTGGGCATGCTAACGGCAGGCCGATGGCGAGGAATCCGAAAACTTTACGAGGAGAATGCAAGCAAAGTACACTGGTTTTAAGCAAGTTTGGAAGTGTGGACATACTCATAATGCATTATGTAGGTTGGCCAAAGTAAGCATGCTGTCCAGAGAAAGTTGTTTTGAATCCTACAAATCATATTAAACTTTGTAGCACTTACTGCAAGGTAAAGTATTGGGGTCTCTTGTGGTGGTGGTTGCGGCAGTTGTGGTTGTAGTTGCTGGTGTGGTGGTGGTGGTTGTAGTTGGTGTGGTGGTGGTTGTGGTCGTAGTTGTTGGTGTGGTTGTAGTTGTCGTTGGTGTGGTGGTTGTAGTTGTTGGTGTGGTGGTGGTTGTAGTTGTTGGTGTGGTGGTGGTTGTAGTTGTTGATGTGGTGGTGGTTGTGGTTGTAGTTGTTGGTGTGGTCGCAGTGGTTGTAGTTGTCGTGGTGGTGGTTGTAGTTGTCGTTGGTGTGGTGATGGTTGTAGTTGTCGTTGGTGTGGTGGTGGTTGTAGTTGTCGTTGGTGTGGTGGTGGTTGTAGTTGTTGGTGTGGTCGTAGTGGTTGTAGTTGATGAAGTAGTTGGTGTGGTGGTGGTGACCGTAGTTGGCGTGGCTGAAGTGGGTGTTGAACTTGTAGTAGTTGTTACTGTGAAAGGAAAAAACATCTCCGTCAGAAATGGAGTTGCTCTTGCACAGAAAGGTCCGTTGTTCACTTGACTGACCATACAGACGTGTCAGGTGGCTGCCGTAAGGGTGTGGCTGCTTCACGTACATTCTGAGGCCGTGACGGTACAGTAGAAGCCCTTTTGCTGCGCCGAGCCGTTGGTCCGGAAGGTGAGCCTGGCCCAGGGGCCGCACGTCGTGATGGTCTCAGGCCGCTTCT